GGTGAGAGGGAGAACCTGCTCCAGCTTATCGGGGAGCACCTTGGGTATCCTTCGCCCTGGTTCTTGTGTCCCGTCTTCTGTCTGGGTGCGAGAATATTACAGATATGTGACTCGGCTGAAGTGTCTTTTTTGGCTTCCCCATGCACCATCTTTACTAACCAAGCTAGAACATTTCTTGTTCCAACATCGCGCAGCTCCGACAACGTCGCTACGGTCTAGGATATCATCTTCAGCGCAGTCGCTAAGGCGCGGGTTTATGGTTGGAGCGAAAGTTCCTGTCATGGGAAGACCGGTATTTACTTCATGGACCCCGAACTGAAATAAATGCTGGCGGTTACATCGGTCGACTCAAGGAGAACATCTTGCCTCCATGTTGTCGCCTGTACCGTCTTGGTAATTTCGTGGCGCTACAAGATCGAGTGCCAACATATGGAATCGAAGGGCGTTGGAAAAACTCTCGCCTACTTGGAATGGAAGGGCGTTGAGTACCTGAAGAAGACTGAATATTTCTGTCATCTGACCTGAACCCCCTCAATAACTCGCTTCAGGGCGGTGCTCAACAGGTGGTCTACTGTGGTGGAGAAATCAACGATTCCGCTGAATTCAGGAACCGAATCACGGTCGCGTGACAGAACCTCTCGATGGCGCTTGTCCAGAAGGCTGTGGCGGAGTTTCGTGATCGTGTACAATGTGCTGCTGAATTTGATGGTGGAAATGTCCAATCAGAATTTAATAAAGTGTAACTTATATCGCCTTGAAGTCGAGGAAGAAAAGTGTCTTTTTTGCCTCCCCCCCCCCTCTATATTTGCTGATGTCGCACACAGTTGGAGGCAATTTCGTTCCACCTCCACTGATTCGAGTTGTTTCCATGCGAGAGACTAATTGGTCCACAGCATTGCAGTGCAGCTTCCTTGGTCAAAAGTGCACGGGAACGGAGCTGAACGGTCGCAACATCCGGGTGCACTTCTCGAATTCCGCCTACGCTATCATCAATGTGCTGCACTTGTGTCGCTACATGATCCCGCAGTGAACATGCAGTCAATGGTAGACAAACAACCAGAATTGAGAGGATGCAGACAAGTAGCGCGTTTGGTTACTGTAAGCGTGGCTGGTCCATGCGACGCTCGGGCGGAGTATGGAGACGTTACCTAGAAATCATTACCCTTCAACCGCGGTAAATCGGAACTGCTTTCATTGGAATAAACTTGTTTCGGAAAAGAAGTTAGACAATGTTACGAACTTTTACTACAGATATGATCCTCAACAAAAAGAGTGGGTTCGTGTGGCACCCATGGGCACACCACGATACGCCCATTCTGTATCGGTGCTTGACGGATATTTATATGCCATTGGAGGACACGATGGAAAATCAAGTGTGAACACTGTGGAAAGGTAAACTGGTGCTCATTTTGCCGCTCTGTTTTTTTCTCATCAAAGTTTCGCAGTGGAATAATAGTTTTTGGAAAAACCTGTCATTCTTAGTTGTACAAAGACCATCACATCGCATTCGCCAATGTGAACTGGAGCGGGAGAAACGATCACTTGTGATCCGAATTAATCCAGCCATACTGACTTTTTCAACGTGCCTGTAACATTCAACTTTCAGATTTGATCCACGTACGGGAAGATGGGAGTTTGTTCGTCCGATGTCAACATGTCGAAGATATCTAGGATCTGCAGTGCTCGATGGGCACTTGTTACTGCAGCAGCGTGGTGGAGATAAGTCATCCCGTGACCTTAGCCCCTCAGTTTGAGAAACTACAACCCTCTTACTGATGACATGGACCGAAGTCGGGCGCCAATGAAGGAGAAGCTCGATGGGAATGTTGACGTCTCACGCAGTATTTCCTATGCATCACTTTGTTTCTACAGATATAAGCAAAATCAACAAGATGTGATTATTTGTAGGTGAAACTCGTCGTTGCCAATGAAAAACTTTAAAAATGCTGTGGTGTGGACATTAAAGACGCACTTCTGACCAGTCTTCCGTTGAAGTATTCGATCCTGAGACAAATAAGTGGGCTATCCACAGTTACCTGAATGAAAAGTGAGTCGTCATCACAGGGATCTTTTTCACATTCACAGTTTTCCTCACTTCCTTTTGACTTTCAGCATAGGTTAATAAGGCTTTCCCTCACTGCATATGCTTCTAGCGAAAACTGGCAGCAGATGTGTGGTGTCATCGAATGCCATTACCGTAATAGCAGCGGCAGCTGGAATGGGATTCAGGAGTTGCAACATCTTTTCACATCTCAGACCTGCATTCCTTCTGATTTGAAGAGCGCTCCCCACCTCTGAGATCAAAATGTTTTTAATCGTAGTATTACTTTTGATGGTTATATGAAGGGTTTTATTTGCATGTTTTTTTCATTATTCTCTGCTTTTTTTCAGAGAACAGCTGAGCATGTAGACCTTGTAGAATGTTCCGAAATAAGCATCTTTAGCATCTTCAAATAAATCTGTTTGAAGGTGTTCAACGGCGAATGTGGTGGAAGCGGACGAGTGTGTTGACTCACACGTGGAGAAAATTGGTTTCCGTCGAATCCAATATAGCTTATTCTCACTCTTCCGAAGGCACACTCCACAGTCGGACCAGTGCTGCTCAAATGACCCTCTCGCCAACATGACAGAACGACAGAGCGCACCAACGAGGAACACGAAAATTTCGTGGTGGTCCATCCATGAGTTTTGTGCAAAATGTGCCGTTTTGTGTAGCCGCCGCTAACTGGGAGCATTTAGACGGTAGTTTGAACTATGAGTTGGCGAAGCAATCATTGTAAAAACATCTATACGCATTCAGATGCTCTCACGATTCTGCACGAACATCAACTGGCGCATCTCAGAGGAAATACCTGTGGTGGCTTTCCCACCGTTTGTGGTAATTTCGAGGGGAGTTCTGTTCATCATGTTGTAAGAGGAGACTAAAATGAGAAGCACATGTGACGCAGTTCATTTTTCGTCGTTGGAAAGGGAGTGCCCGTGAGGCTTAGTTACGAGTCTAGCGACTAGTGTGCGTCTTTAGAGAGGTCTCTGTTGAGCGCATTCTGCAGAGAAATGAGTGCTTACTGCCGTCCGCGCTCTCTTGTTGTCTGTATCCCTGCCCGAACTGGCAACTGTCCGCCGCCGCTGCGCCACTATTAATTCCATAGACACTCTCCCTCCACCAAAGACCGAGGTATGGACATTAGTATGAAGCCAGTGTTAACATTCAAAGGAAACCTCACCACATTTTCATCTTTCATCAACGCTTACGATTAGCTCTCAGATTTTATAGTAATAGAGGCTCTTACATGTTCTTTGAACCGTTTTGAAGTGAAGGGGAAGCAGAAAGCTATATGAAAGCTAAGGTCAGGTTCTGCACTCTGTACTGATGAAGTGGTAGTTTCTCACTAAATGCACGCAGCGCCAAGTATTCTGCTCCAAATGATGGAATAGAATGGGCTCTAGAAGAAGGACCATTCTAGAGGTTTTATGAGTGGATTCCAAATGTGATGAGGTTCCCCATGTTGCCCCTTGCGGACTCTAATCGGGAAACATTACATTCCCCCAAACATATTTGAAAAACCATTTTGTTCTGATAAATATTATAACACACTAGACAAGTTTTAACTTTCCCACTACCGAAAAATGACGTCATCTTTGGTCATTGCAGGGCGACAAATTAGGGTAATAAGAACTTGGCTCGGGTCGCATCTGACTAACCGTTCAACTCTTTGAGCTGCTTGTTCGGAAGATATCTAGTTTCGATTATTGGTTGAAGCAATGAAGCTGCTCATGTTTCGAATCACTGCGTACGGCTAGCTCTACAGGGGGTCACTCTTTATAGGACTCATCGATGGCATCTTTGGGCTACTACTACTCCCTGTTCTTTGTAGTCATTGCGAGGAAGTCTGACTGTTCTCGTCAACTCGCAGACCATCCCAGACGCTGCTTTCAGCATAACACGGGAACGACCGACAATAGGCACTATAAGCACAGGTTCTTCAATTTTCACACCATGTGTCTTTCCACCAAGCTACCTCAGACACCGGTCTGATCAGGCAGCTGTCACGAAGTTACAGTTGAAGGCTGTGATAAGTTTGCATGGTCATGGGATCAAATACATTTCTGACACTATGTCAGAGAAGAAACGATTTTTCTAAGACGATTGTATAACATCACAATGACTGTGGAAATAGCTAGGAGAATAAAGATATCGATTCCAATATGTCGCGGCTTTGTATTGATGATTCTGCACAAGCGCTAGAAATGACCCCACCCCTCTTCCCGTGTCTTCTTTTGCTGGATTGTACGAACCCGAGCTCTCCTAGAGATGTGTGGAGCTGGGAGCCGGGGAGGGGGAGGGTTGATGGAAGGGAAAATATGCACTGAATCATCCGTCAGAACTGTAACGTAGAAATAGAAAAAAAATGTAAAATAGCAGTAAAAAATTCGCTAGATCAGTTATGCTCTCCTTCCGTCAGTGTGGATATTCCACACTGGTGATACGCCCTGTTTACGATGACAAGACACTTCTACTGAAAGATGTTTTTGATCTCTTCTCCTATGTTGAGAGGGAAGTGGGACCGCATACACCACAATAATCGACTTTGTGATCTGCGAATAGCCAGCTGGGTTGCTGTGAGACCATTGATCGTTCCTGCGAAGCCTCCACCTTGTTGATTGTTCCAATTCCTTCTTTTTTTTGCTGCCTTTTATTGCGATTCTTTCACTGCACTTTTTCGTAACATAGCTGCCAGCAGGGGGGTCGTATTTGCTCACTGGGGAAGCGAGAGTGTTGTATAATTCATGGCAATTTTTTTGTGATAGTTGATTCGGCACTATTCGATTGTTACTGCCCCTCCAAAGTGAAAAAGATTTTTTGCTGAACCCTTGTCCACAGAGATAATTCGGTGTGCTTACGAATATAGCACTCACTTCCAGCGCTGGCGCCAGTTTAGCGCCGCCACGGTTCCTACCAAATTCGATGTAGATTTGCAATATCCTGATCACGAATAGCGCCTTAGTTTCCAGTCCTGGCGCCAATCGGCGCTGAGCTGCGAGAGGCGCAAACTTTTCCATCAAACTCGACAAACCTGCATAATAGGGTTGTGGTGCCCTGATCACGAATATGACATCATTTTCCACATCTGCACCATTCAGCGCTCTCCTAAGGCTGAGCCTGGGAAAGGAGTGATTCTTTGTAAGCCAGGCTCAGCCTTAGCAGAGCGCAGATGATCGTAGCGTCTTTCATCAGCACCAGCGCCAAAAATGAATGTGATATTTGTTTTAAAAAATCAGGATGTCGAATGACCTCCGTATACAAGTTGTCGGCAAATTTGGTAAACTAGGACATTTTGGTGCCGGCGCCTGTGGCGCGGGCGCCAGGCAGTTTTGAGCAGCGCTGTTGTGACATTCGTGTTGCAGAGGCTCAAAAAGACCGCCCATCCTACTTCAACAAATCTCGCCCCGTAGAAAGGAAGCCGATCAATATCCGGCCCATTTTCGGAGTAGTAATAAGTGAATAGTGCCGTTGATTTCTCTTGTTCTACGGACGCTATAAAGGGGGGCGGCAAAGTATTTGCCCTTCTGACGCTGGGAAAAACTTTCCGGGCTCTATAGTGTCTCCGAGAATTTTGCGTTTTTTCCTGTTATACGTTATGTACACCCGCCCCTCGCTCGGCTTGAAATTCTTGGGAAAATGCAAGGGAAGTTCCGAAGTGGTGAACTTGGGAAACTCTGAGAGCGTGGTAGCTAGGATAAATAGGATGGGGACGGGGGGGGGGGAGTGTGTTTTCCTCGCGCAGTTTTTTCCCGTTTTTGGCGCACAGTATACCTTCCCTTAGTCTCGGCGCTCGACAGCTCGATCGCGTCAGAGGAGGAAATTAGTTGGGGGGGGGCGGGGGGAGGGGAGGGAGCTCGTACAGGCTCGACCGAAATCCCCGACTAATGATGTGCCCTTTGTCGACTAGATGGTCAAGTTAAACTTATAAGTTTTATAAAACTATCACATAAAATCCCTCAGCTTTCCTCACTTTCTCGAGTGACGAATGAGACATAATAGAACTGCGGAGCCACTCACCTTGCACACAACGAGTATCAGAATGTCCCGAAGGTGAGGTATTTTCGTGTTAAGAGGCAGCCCTGGTGAGCTTAAAATAGCATCCCGGTAGGAGTGGGGTGCAGGTTTTCGAGTCCGACTTGGGGTTTCGTCTTTTCTCCAGCAACCTAGAATAACTTCTAGAGCGCGAACTGAGATGTTGAACTGCTGAAACAGATTAGATTAATATTTGCGGAATTTCACGGATTGCGGGCTTTTGCCATAGATGGAGAAAATCTGCACTTGTTTCGGTGAGGCACTAATATAGTCGCTGTGCACACTAAACACTAGAAGGCGTGCCGGGCATTTTGCTCCAGGAGTTTGTCGCGCTTGTACTTATACTTACCCCCCCCCCCCTTTGTAGTTGCAGTACTTGGATAATTAGCGCGGAATTTAAGAATGGGGTCCAGCTTGGGTGAATACAGTCCATGACTCCATCTAGTGAAAGGATGAAAAAATTTCACTGGGGCAACTCTCATGTCGGGGAATATCCCGCGGAACACCTTATAGTGCCCACTGTTTCGGCATGGCTATCCAGTCGTTTACTATCCCTCCTGAAAAGTGGTCCATAAGATTTCCGCCTTTATTGTTGTTCCTACCTGTTCAACAGCGCTATGAAATGAAATGGCTCCCGGAAGAATTGTTTCACATTGTTTGTTCCATCTCTTACAGGTG